GGCTAGTTTGCAGGTGGCGTCCACTGGCCTGTGCATGACGCACTGCCATTTCTTTCTCCCGGAACTCAAGGTCATTACAACCTGGTGCACGCAGATTCGTTAAACTAACACAGTCAGACCCACGAGAGTTTGTGGCAGGTAGAGGGGTGTGCGCGCTGGAGAGGGCGCTGGAGAGCACGCGCCTCCGCACACTGCGCTCGTGGGGAACGAGGCGGGAGGCTGTTTGGTCAGTTGTGTATCACACCACAGCCGCGTCTCCTGTATCATCTCACTTGACCCTCCAGCAGGCCCCAGGCGTTCCCAGCTGAGTACAGGCACGAGGGTTGTCTGACTTGCCCTGGGTCACACCACCCGAAGTGGCAGAGGAAGGACTGCAGCCCAGTGCCCTTGACCATTTGGCGTCATGTTCACACCTCGCGGCCCAGCACCACTGCAGCCACGCTCTGCAGCATCCCTTGGCCGCAGGTGTGGGCAGAAAGACAACATCAGGGCAAGTTTGCTCCAGCTTTGAGGTTAACTGGCTTCCAGTCACCTCACCTCTGTGAAGTGCTGGCGGGTGTGGGCAGCCACCAGGGGGCGTCCTCCGTGCAGGCCCTGTGCACACCCTCAGCAGCGCATCTCCTCATGGACGCCTGGTGGCCACTCTGCGACGGAGCTGTCCTCACCGACTCCAAGGCCTCAAACCGCCAGGCTTCAAAATTGTGTGCAGAGCTGCATATTGACCGTGTTAAACATTTAGAAGCCCTCGTTCTACGCATTTTCACCTGGCTGAGCGCCAGGTCCTCTCCGGCTCCAACACCTGAGAACTGACACATGCCATGGAGCTCTGCGGGGCTGAACCAGAGCACGGCTCATGCACTGGCTGTCCGCCACCTGCGCAGCCCAGTCTAGGCACAGCGTGGCGGTGCTCCATGAGTAGGTGAATCCAGGACAAGAAAAAGGCGGGAAGGAGCCACGCGCCCTGATGCAGGTTCATGAAATTAACAAGAATTGGACCCATCAGAGTCATTTGCAGCTCTTGCCCGGTTGTGGTCTTGCAGTCCATTTCCCAGGACGAGAACTAGGGCCGCTGAGGACGGAGCCTCAGCAGGGGCATGAGAGGCAGCCTGGAGCAGCAGGCACCCCACGGCAGGAGGCACCAGGGACCAGGTTGTGAGGGACTCCACGTTGATCAGGTGCCCCCCCCCCAGCCGCAGATGGGACAGTTTGAGCGTCAACACGAATAATAATCGCACCAGACAAAATCACAGCAGATACATTTAAATCTGAGCGTGTAGGGCAGGGGTGGGCAACCCCTGGCACGCGTGCCAAACATGGCACGCCAGTAACTTTTGCTGGCACTCGAAACCCTCTCTTATAATCTTCCATTTACAATTTTTTTCTTAATATCGACTTTTTATTTTTCAGATAAATTCAGTGTAGGTGCATCTTAGATAAATAAATAATTTTACATAACAAGTTATCTTAAAGACCATAGACATGGATTGATGAGAGAGGGGAAGAACAATTTCTATGCCTCTGCCTTAACTCTCCCTGCCTTCCTAGATGTGACCAGTGTTTTGGTTTCATCCACATACACTTGTGAATCTTTGTTCTCAGTGATGAATTTTGTTAAGTCTCGTAATAGGAGTAGCCTGACGGATGAAAGTAGTAGCTCGTGCATATCTCTGAAGGTCACGAAATAGAAACCTGATGTAAAATCTCTGTCATCAGTGAGGCAGCAGCAAAAGTCCCACTGATAATATCAAACGGAGTCATAAAGTTTTCTGTCGGACTATCAGTGTACATGTATACATTAAAAAATAAATATATCTTTCATCATCATATACTGTGTTTTTGTCACTCAAATGAATTTTGTTATTTCTTCAAGGTTCTTCACATACGTACACCTTAAGAGATATCAAGTAGGCGTAACATGTTCTCAAAAAATTAGGGTTGGCACGCAGAAGACTTTTGAGTCAGAGATTTTGCTGGTTTTGGCACGCACCCACAGAAAGGTTGCCCACCCCTGGCGTAGGGTAATGTCGGGGAGGAAAACGAACCCGTCCGCAGTGGAAGAAAACTAGTGAGCCGAGGCACTGTTCTAAAAACTGGAGAGTAACGAAAAAGAATTGAGCCTTTACCCTGCTCTTCCTGTGTAGGGAGCCCTCCCGCTCCATAGCCAAACAGGAGGGGAGGGGAAGCTTTCGTATACAAGTGTTCCCGCTAGTGAGTGGAAAGGGGGGATCGCATGGAATCCGCCGTGTGGAACCTGCTGGATCATGCTGGGTCAGCGGGTCCCCACTGAGGCCCAACCTCGCACGCCTCCTGTGGGTGGAGTGGAACACGCCTGGGAAGCAGCCTTGACACAGAGTCAGGCTTGAATGCCATCTAATCGCCAATTTCCGGGAAGTGCAGAGTGAGAGGAACGTGTCCAGCACACCCGGGAGGCCGTCAGCAGAGTCCAGGCTGTGGGGAAACTGGCGGGAATGACCGGTTTCCTCAGCAAATCGAGTGGGGGGGGGAGTGCACGGGAGGCTAGAGAGAGGATGCCTTTCGTTCAGGGGAGGCTTAGGAGACGCGTCGGCAGTCGCAGCGTGTCCGGGTTCAGGTCCTGGGACCAGCAGACTCTCACGAACGTGCCGTGGGAGGCTGTGGGGATTAGACGCTCACTGCACTGAGCGTGGATAACTGAAATTTCTGGTTTGTAGACATGGGATGACATCACGGTGAGGCTTTGCTGTTTCAGAGCCTGTATCTTTTGGAGACGCAGACTGAAATATTTACACGTGAAAATTATTCTGTGCTGTTTGTTCCAAAATAATACAGAAAGGGGAACTAACTAAATAAACGTGCAGAAAGGGCAAAGTAGGTGGGGGAGGGGGAAGAGTTGTAATTGTTGACGTTGGGATGGGTCCCTGGAGTTCTCTATACCATTTCGTTTATTTGTATGTTATTTTAAATCTTCTATAATAAAAGACTTAAAGAAATCATTAGGTCGGTGCTTCCAGGAGGGGTGAGTTTGTGTTATTTTACTTTAATAGCACCTGTTGCTAGCGAGAGCAAACTGAGATGGGTGTGTTCGTGCCTTTCTGGTTGGCATAACCCTGTGCTTAGCACATGGGCAGATTGTATCAAAAACCTTAAAATATTTGTACCATTTGCCTCAATAATTATAGTTCTGCAAATCTGTCCTCAAGAAGTAATCCCAAATGTCTTGAAAGCTTCGTGAACGAAAGTGTGTGTTGCGGCCGTATTTATATTAGGGAAACCGTGGAAGCAGCTAATGTCCAACAGGATGGCTGGGGAAGTCACAGTGTAGCCCCCGGAGGAACCAGGCCGCGTGGAATGCCGCCTCCGCAGACTGCACCGCGACGGAGCAATGCTCATGTCGTCATAACTTCGAAATACCAAGTTCACTCTTCAAAACAAAAAAAGTTAAATGTAAAATGTCTAGTACCTGTAGCGTGTATTTTTCCCTGAATTCCCTCTTAAGAAGCTTGAGCCATTACCAAGGCAGTTTACCGGGTAGTGAAAGTCAGCCCGACTCAGGGTGCTTTTACGGAGACAGTTGCTTGGTTACCCTTGGGCGTCACAGGAGAGTTCACATGTGCTGAAAGCAGTGGCCCTGCGGGAGGAGGTCCAGCATCTCCGCCATTTCAGTCCTTAGAGTTACAAAGTTACAACTGGGTGCCTCCTCCTCCCCTCCCCCTTCTCCACCCCCCCTCCCCCTTCTCCACCCCACTTCCTGCCAATGAGCTGCCTTGAACTGGGGACAGAGCGGCTGTTCCCGCCTCTGGTTAATTGGCATCTTAGCCAGTGGTGTCCAATTGTGTAAGAAATGACCCTTTAAATGTTACGTGGTGTAGCAGTAACGAGAAGTACTATACACTTAATAAGGTGTTTTTATTAACTTTCTCTGAAATGTAAATATGTGCATCACCTTTTTCTTGCCAGATTTATATTCTGTGCCATTTTGGGCAAGAACGGAGACACCCTCTCAGAACTGAAAACTGTTGAAGGAACAGGGTATCAGGGACGTTCAGGGGAGAAGAAGGCTGTTATGCGGACAGGCAGTTGGACCACTGCTAGGACTGGGGAGTAAGGAAAGGGGGGCGGCCCCCAGAACCGACTGCACACTGGAGCCGCAGGGGGTCCGCTGCTGCGGGGGCGGGGATTCTTGTCCTCACTCAGACCAACGGGGACCTTTGGCCGATTCTGTGGGGTCGGCCTCCTCGGGACTCGCTCCAGGGTCTCACCCAGGTGTCAGACGAGTTACGGGAGCCCCAGGAAAGGGAGGCGCCGTTTCCGTTCTGAGTGCTGGGGCTCCAGCCAGCACAGCCGGGCACGCTTCCCTGGCATATATGACACTGCACTATTTTTGTATATTTTAATCCATATACTTCCTGAAAATTCTAAAAGAGAAAAAGCACTTAAATATATTTCCAGGATCCTGTTCCTTTTTGGAGATAAAATTCAGCCACTTTCCGTTTACGGTCAGAGCTTACTGGGTGTCGTCGTCCACTCTGACCAGCCACTGTACACAGATCGCCCAGGGCCCCCGGGCCTGCCTGTCATCTCTGTCGCGCTCCCTGGACTCCGGGGGTGCACGGGCCACGACGGCCCTGAGAACCCGGCTCGCTGACTCCTGGAGCTCCGGGGAGGGGACCACCTCAGGGCAGAGAAAACGGGGGTGGGGGTGGGGGTCACCTTACCCGGCAGATGGCAAGCACCTGGGGCTCGTCCTGACAGGTAAGAGCCAGTTAGAGATCACTCAGGGTGGTGAGATGAGGGGCCCGCACCATCTTTCAGTGGTGAAGGAAGAACTTGTGTTGCTGGGAGTGTGGGACTAAATGCTTTGGGACGCTGGCACGCGGGACAGCCAGCACGCCCTCCCTCGTGGCCGCTGGGGCCTCTGACACAGGAGGGTGAGCCCAGTGCCGCCTTCTCATCATCTTGCCCAGCTGTGTGTGATTTGCATGTTCAGGCTGGTGCTCATGTTTGCACACGTGTTTTGGCAGGTGACCTTGGGAAAGGTGCTGAAAGTGATTGTCGTCATGCGGAGCCTGTTCATTGACCGAACGATCGTGAAGGGCTACAACGAGAACGTCTACACGGAAGACGGCAAGGTAGGCGGGCGGCCTCTCGTTGGTTTTCCGTTCTTGTCCGTGTCCCGGGACGAATGTGGCGGAGCCCGCGCCGAGCGGCTTAAGCAGCGCGATGAGGCCGAGGTGATGGGCGACATGGCCGTGTCCGCGTGGAGATGAGCACGCAGCACCCCCTCTCCCCATCTCCGCAGGCCCCGCTCTCCTCTCGGCCGACGCCCTCAGTTGAATTTCTGATTTATCGCCTTAGACCCCAGGTGCCTCATTAAATGTGTCTTCTGAGAAAAGGGATTTTTTCCTTTTTCTTTTTCTTTTTTTTGTTTTTTTGGAGTTTTTTTCCCAGTCTCGCAGCATATCAGTAGCCCATGGCCCGGCATTTAGCTTTTCCCAAAACCATGAGGAAAATCCAAGTTCGCCATACAAGCTGCCGCCCATCTTTCTGGGACGCTAACAAGGAGCGCAGGAAGCAGCTTGTCCTCCGAGGCTCCATTGAGCGATGTGCCTGACCCGAGGCGGGTTCCTCTGTGGGTGACTGGCTTCATGGAAAGTTCACCCTCGTGAGCCCCTAATTTCCCGTCACCGCACTGTCCACATGGCTCTGTGGCGAGCGTGAGAGACGCTGATGGGCGCTGGCAGCCTGCACTGTGCCTGCTCCCAGAGCGGAACGGGCGCTCTGCCCAAGACACCACCCCGACGCACCCTGTGTCCCCCAGCGCCCGGGCCGTCGGCCCCTCGGGGCTGTCATTTCTCTCCATGAGTCCCACGTAAACCTACATGTGGTCGCTCTAGCACTCACACCCAACAGCCACGTTATGATGAGGAGAAAACGTTTTTCTTAAAAAGAGGTGACAGCCCTAGACAGGTTGCTCAGTGGGTAGAGCATCGGCCCGCGGACTGAAGGTCCCGGGTTTGATTCCAGTCAAGGGCCCGTACCTCGGTTGCAGGCTCGATGCTCTGCCCTGGTCAAGGGGGCGTGCAGGAGGCAACCAATCGATGTGTCTCTCTCACATGTATGTTTCTCTCTCTGTGTCTCTCCCTCTCTTCCTTCCACTCTCTCTAAATATCAATGGGAAAAAAATCTTCTGGTGAGGATTAGCAAAAAAAAAAAAAAAAATGACTGCATCAGTCACTACCGCCCACGCCTCTACCCTGCACGCCCGGGTTCCGGGCCTCTTCTCCTTGCTCGTGTCTTGGCCTCTCATCCCCCCGGAGGTCCCACGTGGCACCTACACCAGTCACTCCTGGACTGATTTGTGTCACCCCTCTTCTCTCCAGATGGACCCAAACTTAGCTCATCATCCCCCCTAAACTCAGGCTCCATCCGCAGCTCCTTCACTGGGTCAGTGGTGCCACCGTCTACCTGCTCAGCCCCCCGCCCCCCCCCCCTTATCTAGTTTGTCGGCGGGTCCTCCTCCTTACATGTCCCTCCAGTTGGCCCCTCCTGTCCTCCACTCCTTTCCAGCTCGCTGCCTCTCAGCCGAGTCCCCGCACTAGCCGCTCACGTCTAGTCTCCAGGTTACTTCCCCGGTGTGTCCTTCCCTGGCTCCCAGAGCTGTCTTCCCAAAGTGCGATTGCTTTTCACCATCTTCCCATCGCCTGGAGCAGGAAACGGGGAGTTGGCTGCTGGGCACTGAGCAGCCTGCGGTCAGGGAGTTTGAGAGGGTTCGGCGGGTTCTTCGCTGCAGGAGCTCGTAGAGCCTGGGCCGCTCTGTGCTCGTGCGTCTCCCGAGGGGTGTGCAGTGTGCAGGATTCTACCTATGTGACCACCAAGCGCTTTCTCCCTTTGCTCAGAGAGCACATTGTGACACCGGCGTTTGCAGAAAACTCTGGCTGTGGAATAAAATCCAAACTCCTCAGCCAGGCATCTAGCGAGCTGGCCCGTCTTCCTTTCTGACCTCGTCTGCCTCCATCGCCACACGCCTCTGTCCTCCTCTCAGCCTTGGTGTTATTGGCGCTCTCTCATTCACTGGCACCCTGTGCCCTTAGCCCGGGGTGCATGCCCTCCCCGTCCACCTGATGAACTTCCCCTCTTCCTGGTACCCGGCCCAGTGCCATCTTCCTTCTCACTCTGTCCCCTTTCCCAGGGGCCTCTCGCGACGGACGGCAGTCTGGGTTTGCCTCGCTCACGGCGCAGTGCCATCACGACTCCATCCACAGCGTGGGAGCCCCCTTTTGCTCTAACTAGAATTAGTACATCGTGGTAATTTCTTTCCACGTCAATCTTGCAGGTAACAAAAATACTAACAGTACCCGTATGTTGGTCTGGTAGGCACTGTGCTGAAGCAAGCTTTGCCTACAGGGGTTACTGAATCCTAGCCCCATTTTCCAGATCAGGAAACTGAGACCTACGGTCACACTGAGCCAGAGCTCACCCCTCACCCCTCCTGAGGACACAAGCTGTCCTTGAGTGTCCCAAGGATAGACCCAGGGCCTGGAGCACAGCCCAGTGACATGGGGGGGGAGTGGGGTGGGGGGATGGGGATGAGAAAGCCCACCTGGGGTGTGAAAGTGCTTTCCCTGGAGTGAAAGGGGAGAGTGAACAATTAGAGGTGGGAACTAAAGGCAGCAGCAGGGAGTGGAGTGTGAGTCGAGAATAAAGGACACGCACAGACGGGCACATGGGTTTTCCTAATGAGTGGTTGGCGTGGGCTCTCCGTTCATCAGAGAGACTGCGTGTCCGGAAACCGGCGCCGTACCGGGCTCCCTATCACCACGGCGATGCAGGAGGCCCTGCTCCCACTACAGCTGCAGGAGCAGTGGCCCAGCCCCACCCACTGCCACGCCCGCGGCTTTCCCCATCACAGTGCCACCCGGCTGCCACTTCACAGTAACACCCACCTCCACTGCCCCAGTCACCCTGTCCCCTCACCTGCAGTGCACACTTTGATACCAAGCACCGTGGCCAATTCCTCCAGTAAAATAGGAAAATGCTCTCAGACTCCCTGACCTGGAGTTCGGTGTCATCTGGGAGGCGCCCAGGGCCGGACTCGGCACGTTCCAGGCATTGTCCTCGTTTTACACCCGCCAGACTTACCTGGGAAAGTGCAAACGCCTCGGTCGAGTTTATCTTATTAGGGGATTTAGGTGATGCTCGTGCTATAGCTTCATTAATTACCCCTTAGCCACTTTTTAAGGCTGCCTTTAGCCTCCTAGCGAAGAGGGAAAGGGGGGTATCAAAGGGAGCCTTCAAAGACAGCCCGCGCTGTCCCCAGGGTGACGCTGATCCCTGCCTTCTCCCACTTCAAAGTGGGATGTGTGTGTGTGTTTGGGCCGGGGAAGCTGAATCTGATTCCTCTAATAAGAGTTGGCATCAGCCCCGTTTGATATTAGATGCAGGGAACGTTTTGATTTGTTAGAGCCTTTGAAACTGTTCAGACGACCTTCAGAACAGGGGCCTCTTGTTCCTGGTGGGGGAAGGGCACCGCTGGGGCGGGCACCGCTGGGCGGGGACGGGTCCGTGCAGAGGAGGCCCTGCGACTGTGCTCGCTGCAGTTTTAGTAACAGATGTGCGTGCGCCCTGATTGGAAGTGAGAAGTTCACAAGTAGCAGACCTGTCACCGCGTCTGGTGAGGCTGGGTCCCTCTTTCATTCCCCGGGGCGGTGGGCGGGCATACAGAGACCACCAAAGGGAGGTTCATGGTTTCGGAAACCACGGAGACACCCTCACCATTGCTGGTCTGTGGCACCCCACCCCTACTGACGCCCACCTCTTGACCTCGCGAGATGAAGCTGCTGATAAATAAAAGCTTTAAAAGCTGAAGTCCCGGAGGCTTGCCAGTTTTATTTGGAAGTGTCAGTTTTAGATAATTTTTAGTTCTCTGCACTATTTTTTGAAATGAAGAATTGATAACTTTCTGGTAAGCTGCCAACACCCCCCCTGGCTGCTAAGTGGGTTGTGGTGCTGACGACTGTCCCATCTGCGGTCCTGAAGCAGATCTGTCAGGTTGCACTTCGCAAGGGCGCTCGCTGAAGGCCGGGGACAGCGTGGAGCTCTGAGCCGCCCCATCTGAATTCCATTGCAGGGCCCTCTTCCTGCGCAGGTAGGAGCTGGGCCTCTGGAGACAGGCCCGTTTCTGATCCTCCATCGCACATCTGCGTGGTGATGCTGAGCAAGTGGCTCAACTCCCTGCGCCTCAATGTCTTATCATCCTTGTGCGAGGGTGCCTTGCTGCTGAGTGCAGAGCTGTCATAAGAGGCACCTGCCACAGGGGGTGGCGGAGGTCATTGGTGGTGGCGGAGGTCATTGGCGGTGGCGGAGGTCATTGGCGGTGGCCATCATGGTAGTTAGACTCCCTGGCCTGCCCATGTTGGGTGATGCTGATGTCTCTTCCCTAAGTAAGTTTCTGTCACTGTTGTCACTAGTTCTTCCTGGGGCAGATGTGTGTGAAGCAGGTGGTCCCCCAGGATCTGGTGTAATCTCCCTGGGAACGTGGTACTCCTCCCTGAAGTGCTCATCCGGCCCCAGAGCCGCAGGCTGCTCGAGGCTGCGTGTCCAGCCCCGTCACGTCGCGGGAGGCTGGCTTTCCCCGCAGGGCCTTCCTGGGCCCCGATGCTGTGGGCTTCGCGCCTTCTCATGGCACTTAGGGAGTTTCTCAGGCTTCGGCTAGGAGTTTGCAGCCTCCAGAAGCTCCCATTGAATGCACAGCCAGCAAAGTCCATAGTCCTGCTGCCTTGCAGCCTAGAAGCTGGAGCTAATGACTATTCATTTGGGTCAGCCGTGGCTCCCGGAAATGAATTTCCGAAATCTTCTGGCCCCAAGGAGAGGCGGCACCGACCCCAGGCGCTGATGAGATGCTTTCTTTGGCGTAAATCTAGCAGAAAATCAAGTGCAGCCGCCTGCTGCGCCTTCCTGGTGAAACCGGACCCATTGTTACCGTCCTTTTCTTACCTCGTGCACCTGGTGAACGGCGCATTGTCCAGCGTCTCCTGCCCCAGATGGTCCTGCGTTCCCCGGGGCCTGGGTGATGCGTGTAGGCCCCGCTCAGAAGGAGCAGCGCACGGTCCACAAGCACGTGTGTTCTCAGGCCCATTAGGCCGGTCAGTGGGCTCTTCAGACAACCGGTTCCCCTCGAATTTCTCCGTTGAAACATTTTGCTGAAGTTTTGTGTTGTTGTTTTTTTAATTTCATCTTTTAAATTAAAACTACAACCCCTCCATCTGTGTGCAGACGCCTCCTTTTCTCCCTGGCCCGTGTCTCTGTCTTGCTGCGCCCTGTGCGGTGGGGGCAGGCAGGAGGATCTATCAGTTCCAAGCCTGACATGGAGGTTACTCTCCCTGGAATTTAGATTTGGGATCTTTGTCATCTTCCTGTCATCTTGGTGGTGATTTGTTAGAACTAAAGACACAAGACATCGTTCACTGGGCGATCTGGATGGTCTTTAACGTGTTCTAAGCCCTGGGCTGCTCTGCTTCCCTAGGAATAGAACTGACCCGACTTCCCCCGAGGCGCCCAGCCGCCCAGCGGGCGCCCTGCCTCAGGAGTGGTTATGTAGGGAACTCGTGTTTCTTCAGAGTTTCCTTCAGACTTACCGGGAAGTCGCATGTCACTTTCCCCTAGAACAGTGGTCGGCAAACTGCGGCTCGCGAGCCACATGCGGCTCTTTGGCCCCTTGAGTGTGGCTCTTCCTAAGCCTTAGGAGTACCCTAATTAAGTTAATAACAATGTACCTACCTATATAGTTTAAGTTTAAAAAATTTGGCTCTCAAAAGAAATTTCAATCGTTGTACTGTTGATATTTGGCTCTGCTGACTAATGAGTTTGCCGACCACTGCCCTAGAACTTGCAAACCTGTCAAATTAAAAGTCGAAGCCTAGTGACTTTTTAAAGTGTTGCCCCATCAACTGGTTTGACTGGGGGTGGGGGGTGGAAATTGGCAGCGCCCTTGTGAGAGTCGGTTAGCAGACAGAAGGAGAGGTGCCGGGTTATGTGGGAGTCCAGGAAGGGACAGGACAGCAGGGCGAGGGAAAGGGGTTTGAACGGATGTTCAGTCGATCAGATTCTTCCATGACATTTCCTGGACTTGGGTCAGCGAAACCTCCACCCTGCCCAGCAGGAGCCCTGCAGGGGTCAGAGGTCCTGGACCTTCCGCTGCCCCAAAAGGGTTCCGACATGAAAGTTACATAAAGCTGACCGCGCCGGAAGGAGCCGGGAGAGCGGTGCCTGTCTTCACAGCCCAACCTTCCTTCTTAATCCTCACCCGAGGACATGCTTACTGATTTTGGGGGGGGGGGGGGGGGGGAACATCGATGTGAGAGAGAACATCAGTTAGTTGCCTTCCGTACGTGAGAGAGAACATTAATTGTTTGCCTGCCACACAGCCCGGGGACTGAACCCACAACCCAGGTATGTGCCCTGACTGGGGATCTAACCCGCAGCCTTTGGCACATGGGACGATGCTCCAACCAACTGAGCCACACCAGCCAGGGCCACAGCCCGACGTTTAATTTCCAAGGACTATTTTCAGAAGGCCAAGTGTTGTGTTTTCACCCGGCAAATGCAACCCTTCACTTCCTGTCTTGGAGCAACCTTCCGGCTGGCTGCTGCTCCTGCTCCCACCCGCTCCGGATCAATGCCACAGCACAGGCTCAAACAGCTGTGTCTCAGGCCCCCTGACCACCGGCCAACCCCAGAAGCAGGTTGCAGGAGGCCCATCGACCAGGTGTTTCAATTTGCTCAACTCTTGACCCTGTGTATTAAAGTTGTCTTTTTAGCGCCAGGGAACGTACTGGCGGCCCCGCTAAGCTCACCGTCCTGAGCTCTCCCGTCTGCTCTGGGTGCTTCTGTTCGCCAGACGTCACTTGTTCTTGAAATAGTGAGGGGCATCGGTTTGATCTCTCACGCAAACCTGTAAGACCAGGGAGGTTTGGTGAGACTGCCATGAAGTGCCCCGTGTAGGACCAGTGTGGCCAGAGGAGGACTGGCCTGGGTTCACGCCCAGCCCTGCCCACGTTTCATCTTGGGCCTCCACGTTCCCCGGGTTCGAGGCCGGGGCGCCCTGATCACAGGCTCTGACCTGATCAGCCGTCAGTTACTCGGGATCCCTTCAACAGGCTCCTTAAGTCACCAGCAGGTTGTAAAGCAGGCCTTCAGGCGGGACGTTTAAATCCTTTCAACCCGGGATCGTTACTCTATAATCATGTCTTATTTTTTCAGGCTTAGCAGCAGTAACTAGAGCATCGTGTTTTGAAGTCCGGATTCTAAAATTGACACTGACGACACTTTTATCCCTTTCCCCACAGCTGGATATATGGTCCAAGTCCAACTACCAAGTGTTCCAGAAGGTAAGCTGTGCTCTCGGCTTCTTGCTCAGGAGGACTGGGGAGTACGGATGCTCTGAGGTGTCAACGTTGGTCTTTCATCCCAGCCTCTCTGAACAACCACAAGCCAGAGGCAAAAGGCTGCCCACTGTGTGGTTCCGTTTACGTGACGGGAAAAGACAAAACCTTGAGGAGAGAGCAGATCCTCGTTCCCAGGGCTGGAGTGGCAGGAGCTGGTGGGCTCCTTTGCCATGTGCCAGGCACCGTGCCAGCTGCTAGGAATCTGGGGGGACAGACAGGGAAGCGCAGTGACATAACTCAGGGCGTCACTGGGGGCTGCTATCAGGAGCAGCAGGGAGGGCCCCTTTACCTTGGGGCCGTCACAGGAGGGAGGCCTTTCGGGGCAGACACTCACTTGAGGCAGGAAGGTGAGAAGGAGCAGCCACATGGACGGCCCGGGTAGAGGTCCCAGGATGGAAGCAGCAGCCCAGAGCCTGGTGCTGGGAGCGTGGAGGGCCGGGAACCTGTGGGCTGAGCATGTGGCGGTCAGGGAAGTGGGGGGGCAGGGGTGGGGGTGGTGGGGGGGGAGGCAGAGCCGGCGCAGCGTGTCTCCCAGGTCCTGGTGCGGAACTTGGATTTCCTTCTCAATCCAGTGAGGAACACTGAAGGGTGGATGCGGAGGAGGGATGCGATTTTGTTTTTGTTTTTTTAAATATATTTGTATTGATTTCAGAGAGGAAAGGAGAGGGAAGAAGAGATAGAAACATCAGTGATGAGAGGGGATCATTGGTTGACTGCCTTTTGCACGCCCCCCCCCCCCTGCTGGGGATCCAGCCCGCAACCCAGGCATGTGCCCTTGACTGGAATCGAACCCAGGACCTTTCAGTCTGCAGGCCGATGCTCTATCCACTGAGCCACACCAGCTAGGGCGAGGGATGCAATTTTGAAAGTTGTGCCCATGTTATTCCCACTGAAGTAACAGTGTGTCCCGCTCGCCTCGCTGCCTTCTTCCTGGAAAATAGTGCCAGGGGCTGAGGAGCGCGCCCCTGTCCGCTCCTCCTGGGGCCGAGCCTCTCCTGGCTAAAGCCCGGCACACCAGGTCCTGTCCGCATTCCCTCTGCGTGTAGCAGTGGCAGCCCTTTCCCTCCTCCTCATTAGTCCGTGTCCCCCCCACCCCACCCCCAGGCTGCCGACAGTTTCATTCAGGGGCTGCCTGCACCTCGCTCAGGACAGGAGGCTTTTTCCCAGCCAGCGAAGCCTTCCAGCAGCGGGGTCCAGAGAAAAGGCGTCTGGGGGCGGGGGGGGGGGCGAGGGGGCCGGGCACAGGGCAGGAGGACAAAGAGCCAGAAAGGCTTCGGCGTGTCCGTGTTTCTCTGGCATTAAGCTCCGCAGGGGCCGTCACTGGTGGGATCTTTAACCTCCTCGTTTCAAAACTGTGTTTCCACCCAGTAGCTTAGGACTCGGAGGGCAGCACGCAGCTACTCCCTGCATTAGTCTTGGCAGGGAGGCCAAGGACCGGGGGGTGCAGCCCAGGTAGCAGGTGGGGCAGAGGCAGTGTCAGCGACAGGCACAGCTTCACAGCCTGCCCCACGGGGTCAGCACAAAGGCCAGAGCCCAGGAGGCCACTCTCAGCCCCCGTCTTTGTCCTGGGGCCCGGGAGGCAGAGGCGCCCCCAGCCC